CCATCCGTTGCTTCTTCTCCTGCCTTCAGGCGAGGTAGTTCTCGACTTACAGTTCGTTTAGTGACCGTTCTAAGTTACGACGGCACTGAAAAGGGACTTAGGACTTATTTTTCACAGTTACGACCCTTGAAGCCTCCCCGGGATCACGGGATCAAACTTCAGGCGCTCGGCAACGGCTTCATACTTACGACGGTCGCAGCGTCCCCGGGTCACGCGATCCCCTTTTTTGTGACCTTCTGACGAGCACAGCCAATGGGGAGGCCGGATTCAGTTAACAACCAAGTTACTAACATCAACTGCAGTGATTCACTTAACAACGGTGACACGGAAAGTTGTAAAATGGGGCAAAGTTCCCTTAACTGTCCTGAATCCCAACGGAAAATCTTGGTCATAAGCCGAGGACTGCCTGCATTCCATTAGCACGTTAAACATTCAGTTTAAATCAGCGGTTCTCAACCTGTGGGTCGGGACCCTATTTGGGGTCGATCGACCATTTCATGGGGGTCGCCAAGCAAGGCTGTCCGCCATTTTTTTTGTCCACCATTTTTTCCCCCTTTTCCGGCGGGTGCCTTACCTCCCTTGGGCTGGGCCAGCTGGTGGTCGGCCTGCTCCATCTCTGCCGCTTGCCAGCTACGCCTCGGCCGGCGCAGGGGGCGGAACCACGCATGCGCGGCGCTCCCGGGCAGGGAAAGTCCTCGACTTACGACCGGTTTAGTCATCGACTTACGACCGGTTGGGGTCGTGGCATTAAAAAGGTTGAGAACCACTGGTTTAAATGAATTAGCCCAGGCCCAAAGGGGAAGGGCCGGACGTAACCGGCCCTATTGGGAGAGGACGCCGGCCTCACCAGCCTCCAAGGAGGAAAGCGCCCCCTGCAGGAGACGGGCGGCCTCCCTCCACAGGCCCCGCTGGCTCACCTGGGGGTGGTCTGGACGAGGGGCTTCCGAGTGGCCCGGAAGGTGATGAAAGCCGTGATGGCCGAGAAGACGACCCAGATGCCCAGGAACCGCCACCAGTGCAGCTTCACGGTGAAGTAGAGGGGGACGACCCACATCTGGAAGAGGGTCACCATCTGCAACGAGAGGGGAGGGGGCTTGGGAGGGGCAGCCCAAAATCCCCCTGGAGAGCTGCGTTTCTCGATGGGAATCCCCCTTTGCACGATTTCCTAGGCGGTTCAGACAATCCCTAAGGCAGGGGTGGGCAAGCTTGGCTCTTTTATGACCGGTGGACTTCAACTCCCAGAATTCCTGAGCCAGCCACACTGAGGGAAAAGGAAGAGGTTTCCAAGCTGAGCCATGCTGGCTCAGGAATTCTGGGAGTTGAAGTCCACCAGTCATGAGGGAGGCCATATAGTTCCCCCATGCTGGCTGAGGAATTCTGGGAGTTGAAGTCCAGAGTCATAAAAGAGCCACGGTTGCCTACCCCTGCCTTAAGGAATTCTAGCAAAGGAGCTGGAGATTAACCGTTCCCGAGCAGCGGGCAAAGCATCGCCGCCCAGCATCAGACGACTTTTCAGACTGGATGGGCCACGTATTGTTTAGGCCAAGGGTTGATTCAGCAAGGATCCCAATGAAAGCATTCTTGGCAGAGGGCCCTCTGGGGGGTCCCCGGGGGTCTCTGACCTTGGTGGTTTCATTGTAGACATGAGGAGGAAGAGGAGGAGAGGACTGTGGGGTCTTTGGTGCTCTCTGAGCTGGGTTGTTTTTTCTTGAGGACGTTTCATGACCCAACTAGGGAACATCATCAGTGCTAGAAGGGAGGAGGAGGAAGGAAGGAAGGAAGGAGGGAAGGAGGGAAGGAGGGGAGGAAGGGAGGAAGGAAGGAAGGAAGGAAGGAAGGAAGGGAGGGAGGAGGAGGAGGAAGAGAAGGAAGAGAAGGAAGGAAGGAAGGAAGGAAGGAAGGAAGGAAGGAAGGAAGGAAGGAAGGAGGGAAGGAAGGAGGAAAGGA